GCACCCCCACCCCCCCACCCCAGTGCCTTGCCTCGGCATGGCGGGGTCAGATCAGGCGCAATTCCCACACTGTGTTCCTGGTGTTGTCCCCTGCAGGGCCATGGGCCAGTGAGGAGCATCTCGTCTCAGAGTGGGGTTGGCCATGTGGTCCTCTCTGGACTGGCTGCTCTATTTGGCCTAGTGGGTCAGGATGTGCCCCGTCATCTGTTCCTGTGTGCTCTGGTCAGATATATCCTTCTCCCGAAGCTGCAGATTCAGTGCCATCATTTGAGATACACTCTTCTCAGGGGTCGGGTATCATTTTAAGTCAAAATCTACTCAAGGGGAACTAAACAATTATATGAGCATTATGTAATGCTCATATATAATTATAGAGTGTGCATGAGCATTAAAATTTCTATCAGAAATGTGTATGAGCATTATAATTTCTAACACATCCCTAGAACCATTTCAAATTCTCAAAAATCAAAGGCATTACTTAACAATTGAGTTTTCTCTTAACTGGGAGGAAATGGTGAAAAACAGGTAAATATTTTATTCTGGACTGCTCTGAGCGCAATTGTGCCCCTTTTCTTTAGCCCTTTGGTGACTGAGGGGGATCATCAACTCCCAACACTGTCAGCCTTCCAGGTTTCTCATCAAACTGGGGTTCCAGTTTGGGTACATGCTGCCACCTGGCGGGGAAACCTGGATAACAACCTGAATGTAAATAAACAGGCCTCGTCTCAACCAAGCCTACGGGGACCCACTTGGGACATACCTGTATCAAAATTCTTAGCCCACCCCCAGCCCCCCAAATTCTTTCCTCTTAATTTCAGCAAGGTTTCCATTACTGAAAACATATGGTTAACAAGAGAAAATAAAACCAGCAAATAATTTGGTGAGGAAAGTGGACGTCTGTTTTGCCCCTTCACCTGTGAAGTGCCCTCCTCTCTCCCTAGGATGTGCCGCAAGCCTACTGGTTCGAAAGCCAATCTGAGTGTTAGACACCAAGCTGGAGAATAAAAAGTGTGATGGGCGGGGTTATGTGGTCCGGGCGCCGGAACCGAACGTTTAGAGCCTGGGCTGCTCCCTAGCACGCCCGGCTAGGGCCCCGGCCCGCTCTGGTAACCGAGAAACCAGAACTCTAGGCGTCCGAGTGCC